TTGAAATAAAAATCTAAAGGGGGTAACCCTTTGAAAAAATCGAAATTTTTATTTTTGAGATTTTTCGAATTTTGACTTTTCCAATCGATAGAGCGGATCTAAATTAGTCGAAAAAAACTCTAACTTCATTTCCAAATCTCGATTTCAAAAGAGAAAAAAAATCAAAAAGAAAATCTCAATTTTCAGGTTTAAATTTTTTTTAAATCCTAACAAAGTTACGAGCAATTGCCAATATTGTCGGACCTGGGGTTTATGAGCGGGTGAGAATCAAAGCTAGAGCCAAGTACAAAATTACGAAAATATATTTACATAAAGCTTACCACAAATCCATATCAGTTCTGGGCATGGGCACTCATAATTGTCACAAGACTAAAAGGCACTATTACTACTAACTACTATCGCGGATAATTCACCCTCTGTAGACTGATAACTCATCTTCCAAAACTACCTTATTTTATCCTAATCGAACCACCATGGTATGTGATTTCTAATTACATTAATTGCCGATGACCTAGCGTCGACATTGACCTTCTATGAATTTCAGTTCCATGTCCGTACAAATTAATAATTTAATAATTCGTTCAACTTGCAATGTTATTTACATGTAAAGTGACCGATGGTCTTCCTGTAATCCATGAACTTTTTTGGAAGTGAGTGAATTAAATTTACCGAAGGGAGATGCTCTATTATCCTAGATACGACAATATTTCTATTAAAATTCGAGCAAATCAAAACAAATTATACATTGTTGGAAAGAGCATTAAATTTTCTATAAATCAATGCAAGATTAAGCTACATAGCTCAAATAATTTCGGAGAAATTACACCTCAAAGTTGAATTTTAGTCGAAAAAGTATCAAAAACTTCAAACTAAATTTTTTCAAAAACTGTAAATATCAACGACTTCAACCATGTACCATTTTAAAGCCCTTATCAAGGGCTACAATCTCAAAAAAAATTGATCCAAAATCTTAGACAAGTTTCGTAAAAATTGAGTTTGAACATTTTGAAAAAAAAATTCAAAGAGGGTATCTTTTGGAAAAAAATTAAAAAACTGAAAATTTTCATTTTTCAGATTTGTGCAATTTTGACTTTTCCAATCGATAGAGCGAGTTCAAATTAGTCGGAAAAAACTCTAAAATCATTACAAAATCTTGATTTCAATACAGAGAAAAATTAAAAAGAAAATCTCAATTTTTAGGTTTAAATTTTTTTTGAATCCCATCAAAGTTAGGAGCGATTGCCAATACCTCCATTAAAATTTGCGCAAATCAAAATAAATTATATATGATTGGAAAGAGCAATAAATTTTCTATATATCAGTGCTAGATTGAGTTTCATAGTTGAAATACTTTTCGCACAATTGAGTCTCAAAGTTCTTTTACTCGATTTTCTCAAAAACCGTAAATGCTAGCGACTTTAACTGAGTACCATTTTGAAGTCCTTATTAGGAGCTACAATTTAAAAAAAAATGGATTCAAAATCTCTGACGGGTTCCGAGAAAATTAAATTTGAAATAAAAATCCAAATTCTTTGAAAAAAAATTAAAAATTCAAAATTTTCATTTTTCAGATTTTCGTAATTTTAACTTTTCCAATCCATAGAGTGGGTCGAAATTAGTCGTCATTGAAATTTGAGCAAACTAAAACATATCGTATATCATTGAAAAAAGCATTAAATTTTCTATAATTCTGTGCTAAATTGAATTTGGTAGCTCAAATACTTTTTGATCAATTGAATCTCAAAGTTGAATTTTACTACAATCAATGATCAATAATTCCCATGTATTCCCAAGACTTACAACTAGTTACTTATGATTGTTAAATATTTTACCAGGTGATTTCCATTTTTTTGGGGATTCTTATATCATTCTCAATTGATTACCTGATTTCCTCTAAGCAATCATTTGATTCTTAAAACAATATCCAATTGTTAAGCTTCTTAAGATATTGTGCAAAATGTGGCAACGATGAGCCACATTTTCTCCCGTACCATATGGCATTATCGAATTTCAAATCCGACATTTTGTCCACGGGCCACAATGTCATCTAACAGTCAAACTGTCAAACACAAATAATATAATCTTTTCCGGCAGTTAACAAAAATCAACTAATTGGAGTTTCCTCCCTTAGTCAATTCAGAAAATGAAAAAAGTCCTGAAAAATCGAGACTGAAAAACCAGGTACACACGATGAAGATGACCACACATAAAAAGCCTCGCCCCTTCGGACTCGTACTTTAAAAAAACCCCAGCCCTCTGGGCTCGTAACTTAAGTAGACCCCGGCCCTTCGGGCTCATAAATTAAAAAGACCCTGACCCTATGGGCCTGCGAAGTTGTTACGGGATGATTTTTCCCGCACCAAAATAGAAGGAAATAAGCTTATTTACCTCTCTGAATAGCATACCTTCCTCAAGCCACTGTTTTCTATCCAATAGTTGTAGCCAAACTTTTCATCAAACTTTTTATTTTTCCCAGAATCATTAAGTTAGAGGTTTATTAATAGAATTGATTTCCTGTTAGTAGGGTTAAAATAAATAGTCAACTAATTTATTAATAAAACAAAATTACAATATTTACAATTAGAACAGCTGATCGGAGTAGATTGACTAGATTGACAGCGCTCCAAATAGGGTCAGTGACCGGTATTAACTTAATTTGAATAAATACCATGCCCCAACTACCATCAAAATTCCCCAGTACCTTCCACCTTGGAGTTTTGACAGAACCTTTTTAAAGGACATTGCAGGGACAAGCAGAGGTCATTCAGGTCGAGGACTTTCCACGATTAAGTGTTCGGGAAAATTCCTCAGGCACATTTTGCCGATTTTCTGAGTTGTCTAGTTTTCGCTCATAGATCTAGGGTGGCTAATCCGTTATTTTAGCACCCAATCGCCTTATGTAAGAGCATAATTTTCTGTTAATTATACGGTTAAATTCCGAATATCGGACATACTTACCTATTGCGCCACGCCCTGTCTCATTACGTCCATTTGTTTCAGGCCTTTAATATTCACCTTTAGAAGTTACGCTTTAAACTTTACCCTTAGATGTCCCCTTTTATTCGTCACGCTTCAGTCCCTAACTTGCAATAAAGAGTTATACGTTATACGTTAAGCTCACTGTATACTTCGAGTAGGACCTACAAATCTTCAGCCTCCTCTAGACCATTAGAAGCTTTAGTGAATCCTAGTGACTGAACTTCAGTGCCCAGGGCCAGTGGCTTCTTGTTGCGGCCCTGATCCAGTCCCAGTCCCCCATTGGAAACACTGGAAGATATTGATCTCACCTGTCAGGTTCTCACCTGTCAGAGATTAGGGACTACTCAGGTTTGATAAGTGTGTTGTATTGTCCTAGTATCAAACCTTGCCAACCCCTTGTTGGAGTAAAACACTACAACAACGCAGATTTACTACCTTAAAAATTATCCTTCAAATTATGTGTTTTATGTGTTGCTATTTCAATTTTTTAATTAATTATAACTATATCACCTTTTTTTTATGAAACTTGCCATCCAGGTTATGTATGGTTAGGTACTTCAATTTTATTAGGTATCTAGGTATCTATACTACCTATATTGTTACATAATATTAAAGCCCTTCAGGTTACGTATTGTTACTTCCACTTTTATTATTGCTGCACTGAATACAGGTAAATACTTGTACACTGGGGTTAAATGGCCATTTACGAAGGTACTGCATTTAGTGAGTTTGTATATTGAACATTTATATTTCAGGTATTATTGCTGTTGTACGGTACTCTTTACTTTAAGGGACTCGAGTTAATTTTTCTTGTATTTACTATTTTTAGAGTATATAGGTTAGGTACTCCTAGTCTAGGCGATTTCTTTACTTCGTTGAACCTGTTCTAGAGTCAACCTGTTCTGGTTCTAATTAAAACCCGTACCTGATTGTATTTAGCAAAGCGTTTCACTTTGTTCTTGTCCTCCCTTCTTGTTTACGTTTATATTTCAGGTTGTGCTGCTATAGTTCCGTAGAAGTTTCCTGCTTTCGTTATATCGGTTGATTTCGTGTACTGCAGGGAAAAAGTAGGCGGCGCTCTATATTTAGTTAATTAATTAACCCACACCACTCTCCGTATTGGAAGCTAGTCGGCAACCCTATACACGAAATCACGTTTCTAGATTTCAGCTACCAACCAACCCCTTTCTTTCTATTCTTTCTGTTATAGTTACCCATTCTCTGTCCCACTTCCTTCAAGTTTCATTAGTTACTTTTCCCTCCCGTTTTGTGCCACGTAACAAATTGGCACATAACAAAGTGTTGCTGTCAAACTTACGATTTTTTTCATTAAAATTACGTCTTTTGAAGCTCTATTTTTGCTTAATTGTTTTATTCAATTTGCATTATTTTCAACGGCATTAGTGTGGACTGAGTGTATTCGTGTCTTTTTCTACTAGTTTGTATAAAAAAGAGATAGAAATACATTTTTTCTGAACTGGTTTTAGCAAAGGATTTGTTAAAATTCACAAAATAATTAGGTTTTGAAAGAAAAATTTAAAACGTAGCAACCCTAGTCGAAAAATGTAGTAACCCTAACGCAATTTAACATTTCAAAGTAGGCCCTGTAGTTTTTGACAGTTAATTTAAAATGGTTGGGTTGTTTCCAAGACCTACTTGATTTGATAAATTTTTTGCTTACAGTTATCTGTATTACCGACATCGATCAAAACCTGGGCTGGGATCACGACAAGTAGAATTCTACTAGAATTCTACTTTCATGAGGTCAGGTTGCCTAGCAACAGTGATCATCGCTTGTAGTATAGGAAACCTGCACACCCTATAGATGGCGCTACAAACCTATATAGCAGCGCCACCTGGAGTAGCTTTGAGAAACAAAAATTATACAGAAGTTTTTTCGAATCGTTAGTTTAAATTCAAATTTGAATTTTCAAATAATATCAAATTCGGAGATTTTTCGATTTGTAAAGATAAGATTGCCTATTCAAAAATCTTGTATCGGAAATTTTATAAAAATAAAAATGTTAAATATAATAAAATATGGATTTCGTCCAATTGTACACAGCATAGAAAGAGGTCAAAATTTTAAGAAAGGATTGAAGTTGGTGGAGGCCGGTTACGTTTTAGATGTTACTGAGGTTGAGAAACGGGAAGAGAAGGAAGTGGCCATATCCTCAAAAGTGGTGGCCCAAACAAGAGTGTCAGTGCAATATGCAGTTAAAATAAAGGTAAACTCAGCATTGTTACATTTCCTTTATTATTGAAACATTCAATCTAAAATACAATTACCTTAAATTAAATTATAAAAAACATGTATGTACTTACTTAACAAATCAGAAATACTTAATACATTAGTTATTTCAAAAATGATTAGCAGTAAAATTTTATTAATTTATTTTAGTCACAAATATATATCCAATTAATATGAATATCAGATTGGTCATAAAAGTTTAAAATTCCAATTTTTGTTGCGTCTTTTTAGGTAAATGAAGACAGAGTTATTCAAGCAGCTTTTTGTACCTGCAAAGCTGGAAAATCTGGCCAGTGTAGGCATATTTGCGCGGTTATTGTTTTCGTAAATTATGATGAAAGCTCAACTTCCAAGACAAGCTTCTCTCAACAATGGGGTAAACCATCAAAACGACAATTGTTAGAGTATGATAAAGGAGCACGAATAAATACCCTTTATAATGAACCATCTTTGGATAAAAAAGCCTCACTGATGGTGCCCATTCCGGTGTGTTCTTCATCATTGGAAAACCTATCAGGTACACCACTATATGTGTATGCAAAATTGGAGGAACTTCAAAATGAAGAAATTGTCGCTGCTCAAACACTTCTTGATATACGACGACTCACAGAAAAACAACAATTGATTGTACAAGCTTCAAGTGTTGTTAAAGAAATATTAATGCAACAGTATTTTAGTGTACCCTACTCAAAAAACTACACGCTCAGTCAGAAGGTTTTGGAGTATTATGAAAGAAATGTTAGTTGTACTTCCGACACTGCTTTCTGTATTGCTACAGAAACTATTCAGCAAAGTGCTGACGATAAGTGGTATAAAGAGCCACGTTATCGTATCACTGCAAGTATAAGTCATAGGGCAAAAGCAAATTCACGTAATGTCAATAAGCTGGTGGAAGATTTACTGAGTACCAAGAAAATAAAGACAGCAGCTATGATCTATGGAACGAAGACTGAAAGTACAGCAATTAGACAGTACGAGACTGACTGGTTAGAACCTGGAAGTCACATTGTTAAAGTGGGTTTGATCATCAATCTTCTCCAACCATGGTTAGCATGCTCACCAGATGGAGTAGTGATTTTGGGAAATAATATAATGAATAAAAGACTGTTAGAAGTAAAGTGCCCATATACATGTCAAGACAAACCAATTTATGATGAAGAAGAAAAAATATTTAATGTAAATTATTTAACAATTGATGAAAATGGTGCGCAACTGAAACGCTCAAACCAAATTTACACTCAAGTGCAAATTCAGATGTATTTAACCAATATTTCTAATTGTGATTTATACATTTATTCTAATAAAGGAAGTGCATTAGTTAAGGTGCCCAGAAATGAAATGTTTTTAAGAGATGTAATCATTAAATTGGAGGCCTTTTACTTTAAGTATTACCTTCCAAAATTGGCAAGTAATTTAAAATAATGGAGGGTGATTTTCTAACAAGAAATTTGTTTCATTTATTGTCTTATTTTGTTTGTTGACTATTTTTTGCATAGGCTCCCAAAAATAGCTACCTATTTCAGTCCGTAAAATGGTTCATTTTCAACCTAGTCCCTAAAAGTCGTCAGAGCAACCTTCTCAGTTTGAATTTGTCCTTATTTTAGGCACCTGTTTCAAAAATAGCGATTCTGATTGCTATGAGGACTTTTAGGGACTAGGCCGAAAATTAGGCATTTTATGGACTGAAATGAGTCCGCAAAATTGCTATGTTTGGGAGAGTACCTATACAAAAATACATTTGCTCACAACTGTTTGTCAATTTAGAATAAACAAAATTTTGAGTTCCATTTTATTTCATTACTAAAGGGATTTTTTAGTGACTAACCGTTTGTAAATGTGTTATATGATGTACTTTCAGTTACTGTTTATAACACTCTTACAAACGGTTAATTGCTAAAAAATCCTTCAAATAACAATACAATCCTTTTGATGTATACAATAATTATTTTTATTATTATGATAAATTAGGATTTTGAATAATGGGTTTTTCGAGATTTATCAAAGCACAAACTACCGACACAATTTTATCCATACGAGATACCAAATGTGCAGGAACCTTATTGAATATGTAAAACTCTTTTACCCGCTGAATAACACGCTCTACATGAATGCGAGCCGAGGCTATATTGTATGTTTCTTCAACTTCTTCTGCAGAAAATTGTTCAGCAGAAAGAAATGGAGGCATGACAAAGATGGCATTTGCCTTTTCCACATCTGCACGAACATTGGGAAAACCTTTGTCGGCCAACACTACATCACCTGGCTGCAGAAGACTGATAATACCTGAATCAATCGTGATGAAACAGTCCCCAGCTCGACCACCATAACAACGTGACACAAAGCTGACAAATCCACTCGGGCTACATCCTATTAGAAATTTGACTGTATGATTGTGTTTATATTGAGAATACATAAGTACTTGGTTTTTTACTGATGCTGGCACCTCTGTTTTCACTTCAGTACAGTCTATTATGACTCTTGCATTTGGAAAATGCACTTTGAATACCTCCGCTAGAGTAGCGCTGATAGTTTCTTTAGAAGGCCAAAATATAAAATTCTTTGTTAAAACGCTGAGACAGTCTAATGTTTCTGCAAACAAAACAGTTGTCATGTGAACATTAAAAATAACTGCAAGAGCTGTGTAGGTTAAGCCAGTTTTCAGTTTCATTAATGTTATTAGTAATTTGGTTTTGTGATCAAGTTTACTTCCTTTCAGGCAGTGAAGATAATTAACTAAAAACTGAAACACTTTTAACGATACCCCTGTTAAACTGCTCATTTGTATATCGTTTTTTATTGATTTCAAACCATGAAAGCCTGGACATTCGCGTACATAGGGATCAGCATCCAGAGGATCACAACTGGCATCTCTATAATTTGCTATTTTCATGGGAAGATCGAAATTGGTTTGTTTGTCCTCCGATTGTTTCACAACAATATTCGTTTGCACTTCTGCATGACAAATTCCGTTATTGACTTTTAAAGCAGAAAACAATATTGGGAAATTAAAACCCTTATTTTCATTTGAGTTTTCACCATTCCACAACTCTGTTTGGCAACTAAGACTTCTACTCGTGATCTTCGTTCCTGAAGATGCCTCAAATTCTATCTTATTCTCCATATCAAATGAAATGCACTGATTTTCCTCACAGTCCATTTGGTTATCAATCTGGTGTAGTTCCCTTTGATGTTGACGGACTAGTTGCCGTTTAAATCTAGCAATCGACTGCTCACTGCTTTTTCTTTTTTTCTGCCCAGGAAAGACTGTTGGAATGTATGCCGGATGAAGTGGATGCTCTGATTTTTTATTTCCTATGAAATGAGCACTACAAATTTTAGTTTTTTTCTCCGGCTCAAAATTGTCTCCACTTTTCCTAAAAACAAAACAAAAGTTGAGGTTATGCGCTCCTTTTATTGAATTTTTCACTGAAAACTATTAAAGTATGCATTGAAAGTAAAGTAAAAGTAAGTGGCTTAACTTTTTCACTGCTGTTATCCACAAATTACGTTTTACTCGTTTCCAATGTGTGTATATACTGTTCAAAGGAAACGAATAAAAACTTATTGGTTCATCTTCCGTACTTCTACTTTGAGGCGTATTAGAACAACCCACAATGCAGCATCTCAATCTCGAATTTGCCATGATTTTAAATTGCAAAAATCATTCAGAGAAAGTTTTAAAAAATATAATTTTTAAAATAAATAAACAATCTAATGTAAGGTTAGGAATTCTCGTATAACTTTTGTACACGTTTCTTTCACTAGATGGCGCCACAATAGCTATGCAAATTCCCTATATGCGATAAATAGGTCGCGGGTGACGTCATGAAAATAAAATTCTACTTGTCATGATCCCAGTCCAGGATTGCTTCAAGTTTCACTTAGTTTTTGATAAGTAGTAATCTTATCGCTTGTCATAAATGATATTTGAAATTTTACCCAACAGTGTTGCCGATGTTTATATAATTACTGTTACGGAAAATATGAAATTTGCAAGGCCTACTTGGGCTTTTTTTTTGTATAAATTCGACCCTCAATGATTGACACAATATTTTTTATAAGTAGTTGGTAGTTGGTAACACTGTTCGACAAGGGACAAAGTAGGCATTGCAAAATTTTAAAATTTAAATATGGCGCCCTGTAATACCGACATTACAATACATACATGTTTCCAAAGCCTACTTGGTTTGATATAAGCCCGTAAGGCGAGAATTTTCCTGAAAAATCAACTTTCAAGATTTCTGGTGATTTTTCATTCCAATTTCTGGCGAATTTAATTTTTTTGACCTGACAACAGTGCAAGTAATTTACCTTGATGTATAACAAAACAAGAAATTAGAAATGAACCCTTGATAAATTGTTTTTAAAAGATGATAGGGTTATAAGGTATGACTCACGCAAACAGTCAACAAATTATGGTTTTCGCCCTCAAACGTTCTAAACTATTGAGTCTCTAACACAAATTCTCTTTCAAGATATTCAATATTCACACCTTTAGCTTCTAACTTTTGCAGCACAAACAAGTAAATTTGAATAATGGATTTAATCAACTATTACTTGCAATAGTCGATTAAATCCATTATGTGTGAAGCTAGAAAAAGCCTAACAACTAAACTTCAGTGGTAAACCCAAGATTGGCCTTTATTTATTAGCTGTTATGAAAGAACTACACAACTGTGGGGGTTTGATAACAATGAAAATCTAATAGTATTACAAAAATGCTTAAAAGGTGCAGCCAAAAATAGTGTATTATAAAAAGCCTACTTTTTACTTAATGGTTATGATATAGTTAAAGTTTACAGGTTAATTTAAAAAGGTGTGAAGCTGGTGTGAAGGATGTAATTGACTTTGATTGATTATTGCTGTCACATGTAATTAATATAGTCCACACAATAAAAAAAATCATAAAAGTAATGTCCTTAGTAAAGAAGTCAATAAGAGAAAATAATGCCAATTGGGGTGGCTTTGGTGCCAAAAAGCGAAAAGTAGCAGACAGCGAAGTATCTCCATGTATTGTGAACAAAAAGTCATGAAATGGTGAGCCTTCCAAAATCAGTTCTCCAATAATTCTTCATTACACAACACAGCACATTACATCGTTCACTCCTTGAGCAAGTTTGGTGACAATTATTATATTGTTTCTTAATAGTTTCGCATCGTGGTTATTTTATTTATCCAGATTGGAGGGTGAAGGTTTTTCCAATCAACATATTTATTACCTATTCAGGAAGTTATAGAAATCATTCTGCAAATAAAAATATTGTCATTTTTGGCTGCTTGAGCCATCATTATTATTTGATAAATCATAAAACAATTTTCATATAAAGTCATAGCTGGTTAATTTGTGGGTCACCTACAAAATGGGTAGAAAATCAAATGGACATCTACAACAAGAAAAAAACAAAGAGTCAGTTGAACATTTGTTAGTAAAACGAAAACAACTTTTAGGTCAATTCGAAAGGTTTAGGTACTTTTTGGCCGATATCATTACTACCGACGAGGTAGAAAAAATCATCCAATTATCTATGCGCATTGAAAAAATCGAACCTATTTTAGATCAAATTAATGATATCGACCTAGAAATTGAATTGGTAGACAAGCATGCAGTTGTCTCCGACAACTTCGAGGATGCATTTTTTCAAATTATATCAGAAGCTAAAAAGTACATGGAAAATTTCAAAGCTAAAAATCAAGATTCAACTTCTTCTTTTGTTCCAAACGCAGCCTCAGCAAATATTTCTCGTCCTCAAAATTCATTCTGGGAAAATTCTATGCCAGGAGGGGCTAGACTACCAAATTTGGGGCTACCCCATTTCAGTGGTGAATTTTGCAAATGGATGCAATTCAAAGAAACATTTGACACTTTAATATCAAGAAATAATTGTTTAGATGATGTTCAAAGGTTTTACTACTTGTTGCAAACACTTGAAGGTGATGCTAAGACTCTTATTATGGGAAAATTATGGGATTGCATGGTCCTTATTAGAGAATCGGTTTAATAATAAGCCGGTGATTATTCAATCTCATATAAAGGCCATATTTGAAGCAAATGTTATCAATGAACAATCCTATATCCAACCTAGAAATTTGATTAATAATTTAGAACGTAACTTGAGGGCTTTAAAGGCGTTGGGGGAGCCTGTGGATACTTGGGATCGCTTATTAATTTTTATTTGTTCTGGAAAGCTTGATTATCAAACAAGGAAAGAATGGGAGGAAGTAACGATTACTAGGTTCTCAGGTCATCCTAATCTTAATAATTTTACTGAATTTATTTCAAACAAATGTCGCATTTTAGAGAACGTTGAAATCAATACTAAATCAGATAATTTGAGAGTTGACCTAGCATCTTCACAAAAACAAGAAAAATATGGTGGAAGTTATGTAAATCGCGGAAAAGGGTTAGCTCATGGGACAACTTTAGGCGAAGCAAGGTCAAGAGGTCGAGCATCATGTATGTTTTGCAAGGGAACTCATTTTATATATCAGTGTGAAAAACTTTTAAATTTGGTTGTTTCTGATAGAATAAGGGAGGTTAAAAAGTTGCAACTTTGCCTCAATTGTTTGCGAGGTAATCATTATTTTTATAACTGTTTATCTGAGTGATGTAAAAATTGCAAGGCTAAGCACAATACTATACTTTTGTAAAGAAAGGTCAGGGACTGCAACTCCTGTGGTGAATCTTGGTAAGACAGAAATTGATAGTGAACAGAACGAATGTTTGTATAGTGGTGAACATGTAGATAATTTTGAACCTTCCATTGTGGCAACTTCATTTAATGCTAATTTTGGTGAATCTCAGATTCTTTTGTCTACAGCTATCATAGAAATTCAAAATCATGAAGGAGCATTTGTAAAATGTAGAGCTCTGTTAGACAGTGGATCTCAAATCAATTTTATTCGTAAAGACAGTACATAAATTGAGTTTAAAATCAAATAGGATTAATATTCCCATAGCAGGCGTGGGTAAATCAATGACACAAATCAAAGAACGAATAGAAACCAATATTAAATCACAATATAATAATTTTAATGCAACTATATCATTTCTAGTATTAGAAAACATAACATCAGAAATTCCCATTAACACTTTTAACGCAAAAAACTTAAATATACCATCTAAAATAAAATTAGCAGATCCAAAATTTAATGAAAGATCCAAAATAGATGTATTGCTAGGTGCTGAACTATTTTATGAATTACTTTGTGTTGGGCAGATAAAATTAAATCATACTTCTTTAATTCTGCAGAAGAGTCTTTTCGGCTGGATAATTTCAGGTCGGTTATTCCAGAGACATAATACTAAAGATCAAGCTGTGTGTAACCTGAGCATTCAATCACACGAGTTACAAAATCAACTAGAACGGTTTTGGTTAGTGGAAGAAGTAGAAGTACAAAATAAACTATCCGCAGAGGAAAGTGAGTCTGAAAGGTTTTATGTAGAAACGGTTGCAAGGGAGGAAACGGGAAGATTTTCCGTAGCTTTGCCTCTGAAAACAAGTGTGAAGGATTTGGGTGATTCTGTGGAAATTGCCAAAAAGAGGTTTCTAAATTTAGAGCGAAGGTTGGAAAAGAATATAGATTTGAAACAAAAATATCATAATTTTATAAAAGGATACGAACAGCTAGGGCATATGTCTAGGATAGAACCGAACAATATTGATAATAACAAATCTGTTGTTTACGTATTGCCACACCATAGTGTTATAAATGAGAATTCACTAACAACAAAACTGCGCGTAGTTTTTGATGCTAGTGCAAAAACAACAAGCGGCTTATCTTTGAACGATGTCTTGAAAGTTGGCCCGAATATTCAGGATGAACTTTTTAATATTTTAGTTAGGTTTCGTCGGCATAATGTTGTTATTACAGCGGATGTAGCAAAAATGAATCGCCAGGTGAACGTTCAACAGAAATATCGTAATTTGCAAATGATCCTTTGGCGTGACAATCCCAATTCAAAGCTGGATTTTTATCAATTAAATACTATAACCTATGGAACAGCATCGGCAAGTTTTTTGGCTACAAGTTGTCTATAGCAGATAGCTTTAGATTCAAAAAATAAACGACCAGATATCAGTGATATTATTGCAAACAATTTTTATGTTGATGATCTCATTACTGGGGCTACTTCAATTACTGATGCTATAGAAATTGCAAAATGCCTCACAAATGAATTGAATAAGTATGGGTTTCCACTTAGAAAGTGGTCATCCAATGAATTAAGGGTTTTAGAGGCTCTCTCTACTGAAGAGGCTATGAGTGAAAGCTATTACATTGCTGATGATAACATAAGAAAAACTTTGGTCGTTATTTGGCAACCTGGTATTGACACATTAGAATATGTAGTTGATTCCAGTCATCAAGATTCTGTAAGAATAACGAAACGGATTATTTTATCTATAACATCAAAAATTTTTGACCCTCTGGGCTTAGTAGGTCCAGTAATCATAGTAGCCAAAGTTATTCTGCAAAAATTATGGATGCTTAAATTGGGGTGGGATGGAGCTGAACCGTTAGACATCTTTTCTGCCTGGAATCAATTTTACAATCAACTTCCATGTATTAATAAAATAAAAATTCCGCGCCAGTTTATGCTGCATGATTTTAATGATGTACAACTTCACGGGTTTTGCGACGCCAGCGAGAAATCGTATGGAGCATGTATTTATATGCGATCATCGAATGACAAAGGTGGAATGAGAATTAGTTTAGTATGTGCCAAATCAAGAGTGGCTCCACTTAAAAGTTTGACTCTACCTCGTCTTGAATTGCTGGATGCGGTTTTATTGTCAAGGCTTGTAACTAAGGTAGTTTCAGCTTTGGATATTGAATTCACAAAGATTCATTTGTGGAGCGATTCAACAATTGTACTCTCGTGGCTTAGAGAACGACCAAGCAACTGGAAAACGTTCGTAGCGCATCGTGCTGCTGAAGTTCAGGAAAGTACAAAGGGATATTATTGGGGTCATGTAATTTCTAGTCAGAATCCTGCAGACATGATATCAAGAGGAATCAATCCCAGTGAACTAGGCAATCTTAAATTATGGTGGAATCGGCCTTATTGGCTGTATTCAAGTCCTGAAAACTGGCCTGAGGCATCATTTAAGCCTTAAGCAACCTTGCCTGAACGGAAAAGGCAGGTTTCACTTGCTGGTACTATAACAGACTTATCATTTTTCAAAAAATTCTCATCTTTATACAAATTAATCAAAATCATCTCATTATGTAGGAAATTTATTGAGAATTAAAATTCCCAATCAACGCAAGTATGGAAAAATTGATGTTTCTGAATATGAATCTACTTTAAAGTTACTTTTACACATTATGCAAGAGCAAGAATTCAGGGAAGAAATAATGGCATTAAAAGCTTCTAGACCGATACCTGTAAGAAGTCCTATTAAATCGTTAGATCCATTTTATGATAACAATGATAAACTAATACGAGTAGGTGGACGAATTCGCGAATCAAATTTAGAATACAACACCATATTTCCAATTATTCTACCTCAGCATCATCCATTTACTAAGTTAATTGTTCTTGATCAACACCACAAAAATATGCACGCAGGAATTCAAACACTTTTAGGTTCATTAAGGCAAAATTATTGGGTTATAAATGGGAAAAATACTATAAGGGGAGTTCTTTCAAAATGTATCACTTGTTTTCGAATCAAACCTTCAATTTCAAGACAGAAAATGGGTAATCTACCCAAAGATCGAGTTAATCCTCAAAGACCGTTTTCTATTGTGGGCATAGATTTCGCAGGGCCATTCAATATAAAAGATGGAAAATTAAGAAATAGGGCACTTGTGAAGGTATATATGTGCTTATTTGTATGTTTTTGTACAAAGGCAGTACATATCGAGCTGGTAGGCGATCTCGGTACAAATTCCTTTCTGAATTGTCTCAAAAGATTTGTATGCAGGCGTGGCCTGTGTAGTAGAATATATTCAGATAATGCTACCAATTTTGTAGGTAGCAATAATGTATTGAAAGGTATTATTCGGGATATGTTGCTGAATGCAGATAAAAGTGAAGATATTTCAAAATTTTTAATCGAAAATAAAATTGATTGGAAATTCATTCCTGCTAAATCACCACACCAAGGTGGACTTTGGGAATCTACTATTAAGAGAGCAAAATTTCATATAACACGAATTGTCGGAAAATCTAATTTTACTTATGAGGATTTATTCACTATTTTTGCTCAAGTGGAAGCGGTATTAAATTCACGTCCACTCATTCCCATCTCTACTGACCCCAAAGGCTTTTCCGCCCTAACACCAGGGTATTTCCTTATTGGAGATTCTTTAAATGCCCTACCGCAAAGGGATGTTACTGAAATACCAAGCAATCGCCTCAATCATTATCATGAACTTCAAAAACTGGTACAACTGTTCTGGGAGAGATGGTCGTCCGAGTACGTGCGAGACCTGCAGAAACGACAAAAATGGCATGGTGCACAGGACAATGTGATGGTGGGAACTTTAGTTCTGTTAGTGGAAGAAAATGCACCACCTTTATACTGGAAGCTGGGAAGAATTACCGAAGTGCATCCGGGTAAAGACGGATTAGTTCGAGTAGTGAGTGTTCTTACGAAAGGTGGTACTTTCAAACGTGCGGTACACAAAATATGTGTGTTACCGATGAACGACGAGATTTATGAAAATGCTTAAATATGTAAGCATTTTTCTTGATTTTATTTTCATATTTGTATATTTATTTTAATATTAGAATTATTTTGTTATGTTACATTTATTCGTTAGAAAACTTAAGTTTTCCAAGGCCGGCGGCTATGGTTAGAACCCGAGCTTTTGAACCATTGATATAGTTAAAGTTTACAGGTTAATTTAAAAAGGTGTGAAGCTGGTGTGAAGGATGTAATTGACTTTGATTGATTATTGCTGTCACATGTAATTAATATAGTCCACACAATAAAAAAAATCATAAAAGTAATGTCCTTAGTTGGAAGAAGTCAATAAGAGAAAATAATGCCAATTGGTGGCTCCACTTAACCTTGATCTACAGTTACGGTGACTTTTGCTTCTTCTGAGATTTGTACTTTTCCCGATGCAAATCAACAAATTCTTATTGGTTATTGTACAAACTATATGTATATCCTTTTGGTCGAGAACAAGAGAATAAATTCTGTAGTGCTAAAAAAATGTAATTTTTGCGAAAAATCATTCAAAATAGAAAACGAGAGAGTAAGAGATCACTGTCATCTTTGATATAACTGCAAAGGCCCGCCCACTCCAATTGCAATCTTGACTTCAAGATACATCATACTTCATTCCAATCTTCTTTCATAATATGCGTGACTCCGATTTCAACCTCTTCGTGAAGACATTGGCTCAGTAAATCGAGAGATTGGATGTGGTACCTCAAAATAAGAATAGGTGCATTTCTGAAAATTCTGAATCTTTGAAATTCTTCAAATTACTCTAATGAATTGAAAGTAACTTTTGAAGCAATGTCCGAAAAATCTCGTTCCTCTTACAGATTCTAACATTTTAAAAATACCCGAAAAATCATTTCCAGATAGTAAATATACGGCGGGAATGTATTAAAAGGCGAAAAATTAACTGAAAAAGGCTGTCTCAAAAACACGAAATGATACTTATGGTGTTTTCCAATATTGCCAATCTTCAATCCCAATAAATTAAGAGCAAAACTCAAAATATATCACTCAATTCTATTCTTCTGATCCTTTGGAAACAACTGAAAAGACCTTCATTATTTTCACATGTCCTTGAATTCCCATAGGAAAATATTTTAAATCCCTGGGACAGTTTGGATTTGATAGTAACTATAAACTACTTTAGCAAATTTGTTGTAACTTTTTCCATTCACATAAAAACAACAACATTGCCTTCTGCTAAAAATTTTCTCGGATAAAGGCCTTTATTTATAAAATTCCTATATAAGTGAGGTAAAACTCTACAACCCATTTCAAGTTTTAATTAACGCACAGGCACAATAACGAGAACTAATCCGGACACGTTGTTCCATCACGTGACAGCTATCATTACGATTATTCGTCCAGGATCGGACGATTAAACTTTGCTCGCTTTTCCAGTAGATATCGTTCCGAAATTGGACGATCGTTTTGATAATGCGTTGTGCATTGTTGTTTGAAATTGAATTGGCCCATCAGAAACAAAAAGAGCAAAACCAAAACTGAAGTTTTTTTTTAAATTATTTTTTCTACAAACGTGTTAAAAATGCAATTTTTAACACCGCCCCGAAGCATTAAAAATGTTACTTTATCGCACTAGTGCCATAAAGTCTTTATAGCACTAGTGTTAAAAGTGAAACATCAAATTTTGAGAGCGGACGTCAAAAAAAGTTTGTATTTTCAGTTATTTACATTGATAATAATGGTGAAATTTGAACAACTGAGGTAGCCCGATTGGCCGCCTCATCTATATTTTTCGAAGGATCGATGCAACTCTCTTTTTCTTCTGTATTTTGTTGCATTTTTAGCAAAAAGCATTCCTGACCACGACATACTTTCAAGAAACTGACAAGACATTTCGTTACCTGTAAAACAAGGTGCTGGTTGTATGGATTTTTTGACAAATGTCAAATTCAAGAATTTTATGTAGGAAAGATGCTTCCAATTTATTATTCATTTAAAAATCCAATTTGTTAGTGGTTATTGCTTTTTATTGCCGTTTGTAGAAAAAATATTGTATGATATTTGTGTTAAAAGTATTTTTAAGGCACTTATGTGAATTGCAGAATTCGCTTCGCTCATTCTGCAAACTTTCACATGCGTGCCTTAAAAATGTACTTTTAACACTTATATCATAAATAACTATTTTGTCTATCGACTCTGCCACTAGGAAACACAACTTGCTTACGTCGAAACTTTTAGTAAAAAGTAATTAATTTAAGTTTGGAACTTTTACGAAATTTTAGTTGTCTATGGCTAATTAAACTTATTGAAAACTACTATTTTTCATAGGAAATCATGACTTTCAGAAATTACATATTCCCACTTGATGTTGAATCAGTAAGACTTTTTGTTAAAATAGTTTCTTTTTCTTTGCCTCACTGCCGGATCTCATCACGCCATCTTTGTAGAGATCCTGATGATTCAATGTTCAATCGAATTTGATCAGTGAATTTCAATTAAAAACATTGCATTCGCAGACTTAATTATTTGGAGCGATGTGGAATTAAACGTTCAAAATTTATTTGTTTTTAGGAAAAATAGAATTTCATGCATTCGATAGATTTTTTCCAGAAAACCGAACATTTTCAATTGACAAAATTGAAATTTGGAAAAAGTGTTTTTGAAATTGAGTTTTCTTTAGTGAAAGTTGAATTCATGAATTTTGAAAATATCGAAAACAGAGTAGAGTGGAAGGAAAGAAGTCAAATCACTGAGAATGGAATCATTTTTCCCCCACTCTAACTAACATCCCCTACTTCCTTTGCCAAACACTTCCCATTCACTGAATACACCCATTATTTTTGAGAGATCCTTCCTCCTTCTCTTTTTATTTAGGTAAATTCGTTACAACAACATTCGGTATTTTCAGTTGGTTGCAGACAACAAACCTATAAAGAATAGCACCCTTCTACAAAAACTTGTTGAAACATGAATTGTTGTTCATCTATAGACAATGTTCTAGCTCATAATATGAGTGGTGAAAAATTACTTTCAGATTTTACAAGCGAATAACTAATGAGAATACCGTTGGAATATTTATTCAAGTCATTCGAACTTTTGGATGCATGAGAAAAGTTACCAATAAGTTACAGAAACAGTTTCCTTCTTCAAATTAAATTGCTTTGCTTCGTTTATTACAATCTCCCCGACTGGAGAACTCACATAATGTCGGTCGTTTTTAATCTGACACTTTCCGTATGAGGAACGGGGGGTGAAGCTTACGGAAAAAACAGGTGTGACGACAGGTGACCACTGGCGTTCTAATGTAGGGAGCCACCAGCTCACATTCCTTTGGAGTATCAGATTAAAATCGACGGAATTTAGATTGCTCACAAGCAAAATGGTGTTGCATAAAATGATTTTACCCAATTATATCTGAATATTTTAAATAAAGCCAAGTCGTTTAAACATTTGAAGTTTTGAACATGTCAAAGTTTCCAATAATTTACGAATGCATTTTCTTTTCCAAAATAAAACTATCATTTAATTATATTTTCATAGGTGTAAGACATTCTCATTTAAGGCAGGAACATATCTTTTTTTTTTTATTAAAATAGTTTTCTGAGATGCGGAAGCAAATTATAAAATCAAATTGCGTCATATTTATTTTCGTTTCTAAAATTCTTAAGAGTTATTTCATCATTTAGTTTACACACCCTGTTTAAATTCAAGGGAAAATAAAGCATTCATGTTCAAGTTATA